TGATGGAATAATACGGAGTACATGGTGAACTCGTGATCGAATGACTAAAGCAAGACGACATGATCTTGATGTTAATCCACTTCCTTTTCAGGGTGTATTGTTTAGGATGAAGCTATAATGATCTCTATTTGTAAAATAATACACCCAGAAAGAAACCTAATTAGTATGATAAGAGTATTAATAAAAGTAATTTATCTAAGTAGGACTAAAACATAATGACTTTCCTAATATACCATATGTTTTTATTTCTCAATGTAGGACTTCTGGTCATTATGAAGTAGTCATTATTCAAGTAAATGTCCATGATTACTGGACATTATTCCTCTCACAAGGTCATTATTATTAAGTCTTGTTTAAGGGAATAAAAAACTTTAAATCCTACATTAAGAAAGTCATTATGCTTTAATCCTATTTAGTGCAAATTTCACTAATTAATAATTATATCAGGCGTGCTACTTCAACACGGGAGTAATGGTGATGGATTTGGAGAAGTGGAGGAAGGGAGATTACACCACCAGGATCGCCGAGTGGATGGAGCTCCAGAAGAGGCTAAGAATCTACGAGCTGGGGTCCCTGCCGCCCTTCCTCCTCGTCTTCGCCGGAAACATCGCTCCGGTGGATCACCGGTGGAACCAACACGGCCTCGGAGGGGATAACTTCCGAGGAGTGTGCCGGGACCTGCACCCCGGCCCGGTTTCTCTCTTGCACTGGAGCGGCAAGGCCAAGCCGTGGGTTCGGCTCGACGATGGTCGCCCTTGTCCGTTGGACGTTCTTTGGGCGCCTTATGATCTCCTTCGGAGCACGTCACGCTCTCCTCTTGAATCTTAGATTTTGTTTTATACGGAGTACATAATTGATTAAGTGCGTGTAAATTCTCTTCTTCTTTTTTATTTTTTTATTTTTTTTACATACAAGGACAGATGAATGTAATGATGAATATATCTGGATTTCCTATGCCATATGTCAATACATCCGGAATATACGGTGTTTCAATATTCGTTTTAATTTCCATTATATATGTAGCTGAATATATATTGATGCTTGAGTTATCACTAATCAAATTATTATATTGGAGTTTGTGTAAAGTCAAATTGGAAAAAAAGTTACTCCCTCCGTCCCATATCTTTCTTCTCACTTTCCTTTTTGGGCCGTCCCACTTGATTCTTCCCGTTTCCTAAAATGGAATTAAAACACACTTACCCTTACCATTTTACCCTTCCTTTTTCTCTCTCCCCACCTCTTCTTTTTCTTTCCTTCGTTAGACCCCATCCCCCTCTCTTTATTTTTTCTTCTTCTTCACCCACCCTTCTCTCTCTCTCTCTCTGTCTCCTCATTTTCTTCTTCTCCGTTTGACCTCCCCCACCCCGTCTTCTTCTTCTTCTTTTTCTTCCTTCGACCATCACCCACCCTTCTCCTTCTTCTTTTCTATCATCAGATCTCCATGTCTCCCATTCGCCTCCTCTTTCTTCTTCTTCAATTTCATAGATTTGATTTTTAATTTCTTCAATTTCTTAGATTTGATTTAAAATTTCTTCAATTTCTTATATTTGATTTTTAATTTCTTCAATTTCGTAAATTTGAAATCTAGATTTTTTTAAAGCATTTGAAATCTAGATTTGTTTTTAATTTCTTAGATCTAACTGTGGTAGAAGGAGGGGAGGGGACGAAGAACAATTGTGGAGCTAAAGAAGAAGATGAATAGTTTAGTTTGTGTTTGTGATGCACTCATGCTCAGACACTTCCGGGAGCATGGTGGTGGGTTGTGAAAAAAAAAAAGAAGAGTAAAGGAGACGGTAGTTGAAGGGCAAAAGAGGAAAGTCAATACTTTTTTTACTTTACATTAAAACCCGTGCCAAGTCAAAACGAGAAATTTCAACTTGGAGGGAGGGAGTATCAAACAAATGGAGTATAACAAATTATTACATTGGAGATTGTGTAAAGTCAAATTGGAAAAAAGTTATCAAACAAATGGAATATAATACAAAGTATATGGTTGTAGTTTGTACAGAGAAAAGAAAAATGAAACAATTATTAAAAAGGTCATTAGAAGAGAATCATGGAACAGTTAAATAAAAAATAGAAAGATAATTATGTGAGTGTCCGTTGCACTCGCACCTCATCTGATCGTTTTCTTGCCTAATAATTATCAGGTGGTATGAGTACAACATTTTGAAACCACATAGACTTTAAAAATAAATTTTGAAAATAGGGGGTATTAGTGTTTATTTTGTAAACCACGAGGCACTGGTGTTATTTGGCCTACGAATTGTCATCCGTAAAAATTAAAAGATACACGACAGTTAGACCTATCAATCGGGTCAATCATTTCGGTTTGGGTTCGAATCCTTTGGGGCAGGGTCGGCTATATGTTATAATTGGTTCTTTTCATTTCGGTATCAAGTTTAATTCAGTTTGATTTTTTCCCGATTCAGGTTTATTTCAATTCAGGTTTATATCGACTCAAGTTTATATCGATTTGGGTTTATGTCTAATTGGTTTTGGGTCTAATCGACTTCAGGTTTAATCAGATCGGGTGCAATCGGTTTGAGCTCAACCGAATTTGGATTTGAATTGGGTCTGAATACATTCGATTCAGTTTTGGTTCGGTTAAGATCATTTTTGACGTTCGGGTTTTATTCGGTTTTTTAGTTTTTGGGTATTTCATGTTCGGTTCGGGTTATCAGGTTCGGGTCTATTTTATCAAGTATGTACATAAACAATAATTATAATTGTCCCTTCGTCCCAATTTAAATCGTATATTTGGTTTATGATGTTTGAGTGAATTTATTTTAAAACCATTTTTATATGAAAAATGATGTAGAATTAAAAAATAAATCTTACATATTTAAAAACTCATCCGTACATGAAAAGATTTACTCCTCCTATCCCAATTTAAATCGTATGGTTCGGTTTACGATGTTTGATTGTAATAATTTTTGCAAATCATTTGATATGAAAAATGATGTAGAATTAAAGATAAGAGATCTATAAAACTTGTTGTGACTTGTGACATGACTATATTATTTTATAAAATGATTAACGAAAATAGGAAAAGAAAGTGAATGAAGTTTGACTATGTGAATAGAAAATTGGCCCTTTAGAGCAATAGCAATGGCATCTCATCACTATGCCACACCCTGCCACATCAGCATGTGAAGGCATGTTGCCATGCGTGTCTAGGGCGAGTCTCCCCTCAAACCGAGTAACCTACGAGGCAAAATAGCCACTGATGAGTATTTTTGTTTTCTTTTTATTTTCCCTTTTTCTCATATGGATAAGGAAATCTGTGGCCAATGGCCATCAACACATCTAAGTATCTAAGACATCCGTACTTCTATACTCCATATTGTTTTCTTATTTTTCTTTTGTATTTCTTTGTTCATTTTCTTTGGGGTTTTACGAGAAGACATCTCTAATTTTTTTAAAAACATTTTATTTACAAATTGGTATATCGATAAGAAATACAAATTACAAATTAAATAATTACGTCAAAAGTTCTACAAAACAAATAGTGACAAAAATATTTTATTTTATCAAATAACTAATGAAATTACGTAAACAAACAAAAGTTTTCGAGAAGAGAGAGAAAAAATTACTCCCTCCGTCCTATATTGATCTTCCCAGTTTGACTAAAAGTCATTTTTAAGGGATGAGTAAATATTACTTTGACTTCCAAAAATACCCCTCCTTCATCGTTAGAGTACTTCTTAAGCGCCTAGTTGCCGGAAAAGGTCATCACCCCCTTGGTATCGGTGCACAAACCACAGATCTCGGTGATATTGTGAATAATCGCCGGCCCCTTGATATTGACGATGATGAGAAAACGCAGATCAAAAAGGGGAGAGAGAAGAAAGGAGAGGGAAGAGAGACGGAGAAAGTGATAGGAAGGAGAGATGGAGAAAGAGGAGAGGGAAATCGGAGGAAGGGGAAAAGAGATGAAAGGCAGAGACGGAGGACAGGGCAATGATTGAGAGGTGTTAAGGGGTAGGTAATATAGTCTATTTACATACTTTTTTAAGAAGCGGGAATTGAAGATGATTTTAGCACGAGAAAAAAAAGGAAGTGAGAAGATCAATATAGGACGGAGGGAGTATAATCTATTTAGGAACCTAGGGGGTATTTTTTCTTTGTTACTCCGTATGATAAGATAAAAAAATAAAATAGGAGGCTCTTTAATCATTAAAATTCTCAAAAAAATATGAAAGTTACAAAAAATAATGACTTGCCACTGTAAAGTGTGCTACTCTACTCACTTGCCACTTTGTGACTAGACTGTTTTTTATTGGTTGAAAAATGACATGTCAGCGTGTGGCATATCATTTTTTACTTGCCATTGCTTGGGCTCTTAATTTGGGATGGAGGAGGTGCAAAATTCAAAATAACATGACTATATTATTTTATCAAATGATTAATGAAAATAGAGAAAAAATGTGAATGAATTAACCTTGTAAATAGGAAATAAATATTTTGATTCAGGATTGAGTGAGTACTTGACCAAACTTTTTTTCAATAAATTTTTTATATACTCAATGGCTGGTATATAAAATTTATATAAAGAATTTTATAAAAACACAAGTCTGGTTGATTAATGAAAAGAAGAAAATGAAGTGTAAAATTTTGCAATGGATGGAATAACTCCGTAGTAAATGATACGGAGTAATTTAATTTTGAAAAGGGAGCAATAAATATCATTTCAGTTATTCCTGATTCAAAAGTTTTTAAATTCAATGCTTTATCCTTTATAAACCCATTCCAATTCCGTTTTAATTTGTACTGATCCTTTCATCTTCTTTCTCTCGACCATGGCAAATCCAGACCAAAATGACGATCAAAACCAAAGCCAAAACGAAAACCCAAATGAAAGTCCAAACCAAAACCAAAATCAAAACCAAAACCAAAATCAAAACCAAAACCAAAACCAAAACAAGAAGAACAAAAACCAGCAGCAGGGCCAACAGATGCTGGCAAACGCCGTTGAAGAATTCAACCTCCGGGAGACGGCGCCGCTCCTCGGAGGCGGCAGGGTCTCCGGGAACGACCGTCTCGGGACGGCGTTTGATCTCGTCGAACAAATGCACTATCTCTACGTCCGGGTTGTGAAGGCCAAGGAGTTGCCGCCTAAGGACGACGACAGTTCCGACGACGGTCCACAACCCTTCGTCGAGGTGAAGATCGGAAACTTCAAGGAGACGACTCGGCATTTCGAGAAGAAACCCGATCCCGAGTGGAACCAGGTTTTCTCCATCCTCAAGGAGCACATTCAGTCCCCCGTCGTCGAGATCGCCGTGAGAGATAAAGACAAAAGCCAAGAAGATTCCGATCTGATCGGAGCCGTCACGTTCGACGTTCTTGAGGTTCCCACTAGGGTTCCTCCCGACAGTCCCCTGGCCCCGCAATGGTACCGGTTGGAGAACAACGCGGGAGGGAGGGCGCGTGGCGAGGTGATGCTGGCCGTCTGGATCGGAACCCAAGCCGACGAGGCCTTCCCGGAGGCCTGCAGCATGGAAGTCTCCGCCACCACCGCCGCCGCGGCTCCTCCTCCGACTTCTGTAAGTCTTGCCAATATCAAGTCTAAGGTTTACTTGTCCCCCCGGCTATGGTATCTGAGAGTAAATGTCATTGAGGCCAAGGAGTTACCCTTTGGTGAGAAGAACAGACAAAACCCTGAAATCTTTGTTAAGGTTTCTCTCGGGAATGTGGTTTTGAGGACTAAGATGTCTGTCACTAAGACGGCGAACCCGGTCTGGAACGAGGACTTGATGTTCGTCGTGGCCGAACCGTTCGACGAGGAACTGGTTGTGTCTGTGGAGGATAAGGTGGGAGGAAACAAGGAGGAAGTTCTCGGGAAATGTGTCGTCCCTTTGCAAACGGTGGAGAAGAGGGTGGACTTTAGGGTTCCGACCGGCAGGTGGTGTGCCCTGGAGAAGCTTGTGCCGGCGGGGGAGAACGGGGAGATGGTGAATGTGATCAAAACGAATTGTAGGGTTCATCTGAGGTTGTCGTTCGATGGCGGGTACCATGTTCTCGACGAGTTGACTCAGTACAGTAGCGATTTCAAGGCCACCGCTAGACAGCTTTCCAAGCCGTCTATCGGCGTTCTTGAACTCGGGGTCCTGAGCGCTCAGGACTTGGCACCAATGAAGCAAAAGGATGGCCGCGGGAGGACGGACTCGTACTGCGTGGCCAAGTACGGGCCCAAGTGGATCCGTACTCGGACGGTTCTCAACAGTCTGAACCCCAAATGGAACGAGCAGTACACTTGGGACGTGTTCGATCCTTGCACTGTCATCACAATCGCGGTTTTCGATAACAACCACTTGCCAGAAGTCGCGACGAATAACNGTCTTGTCCCCAAATGGGGTGAGGAAGATCGGGGAAATCCAGCTGGCTGTGCGGTTTTCCTCGGCCTCCCTATACAACATGCTTTCGTTGTACGGGAAACCGCTTTTGCCCCCTCTCCACTACCTCCACCCCCTGAGTAGCTATCAGGTCGAGAGCCTGAGGCATCAGGCCACCCACATCATATCGACGAGGATGGCCCGAGCCGAGCCACCGCTCAGAAGGGAAGCGGTGGAGTACATGCTCGACGTGGGGTCGAACATGTGGAGCGTCAGGAAGAGCAAGGCGAACTACCTCCGGATCGCCACGCTCCTGTCGAGCGTGGCGTCCGTCTGGGTCATGTTCGACCGCGTCTGTGCCTGGCACAATCCTGTCGTCAGCGTGCTGGCCCACGTCTTGTTCTTGATGTTGGTGTGTTTCCCGCGGCTCATTCTGAGTTCGGTTTTCCTGTGCCTCTTCGTCTTCGGGGTGTGCAAGTACAGGGGCAGGCCGAAGCACCCGCCCCACATGAACATCGCCATGTCCCAGGCGGACAGGGCCCACACAGACGAGCTGGACGAGGAGTTCGACAACTTCCCCAGCTCGAAGAGCGGGGACGTGCTGAAGATGCGGTACGATCGTCTGAGGAGCATCGCGTCGAGGCTGCAGACGCTGGCGGGCGACGTGGCGACGCAGGGGGAGAGGTTCGGGAGCCTGCTGAGCTGGCGTGATCCTAGGGCCACGATGGTGTTCCTCGTTTTCTGTTTGGTTGCTTGCGTGGTGTTCTACGTGGTCCCTTTTAGGGTTTTTGTTGTGGGGATGGGGTTTTATGTGATGAGGCACCCCAGGTTCAGGGAGAAGAAGATGCCAGGTGTCGTCATCAGCTTCTTCCGCAGGCTGCCCGCCAAATCCGACTCCTTGTTGTGACTCCCTGCAGATTTAACTATTAATGGTTTTATTTGAGTACTTATTTTGAGTGTGATCACCTGAAAGCACTTGAGATGTGTTAAAGTTCACTTTTTTTGTTCTGGAAAATAAGTACAGTATTATGATTTTCATTAATGGCATTCTTTTCTTTTTTCATTAAGAGAAGAAAATATGTTTGTTGTGTTTAAAATGATAAGGACTCTAATCTCTTGCGGAGTGTTATAAAAGTATAAAACTATGTTTAAGGCAGAGAGATCTAGTAGAAAAGATTGACCACAAATCATCAATTTCACATGAGGTACATGATTTGAGCTAGTACTACTAACAATCCTCATTTTTATTTGTGTGGGGGAATCATTTTCTTCTCTAAGAGTTTCCTCAAAAACGCTAAATATAGTTTTTTTTTATAACATAAAACTGATAAACACCAAATGACAACGAATAGAGAAATGATAGAGTCACAAACTAAATGATCACAAAATCTACAAATTTTTTAATTGTAAACTTCATTAGAAGCACAAAGTAATTTTAAATATTTTGAAATGCAAAATCTATATTTCCAAATTGTAAGTTTGTAAATTTTATGACATTTTAGTTTCACTCTAACATTTTTCAGACAAAAATGATAATTATGTTACTATTAAGGAAGTCAATAACCATTTTCTCTAATTATTAATTAGGCCATTTCTTCTAAAGAATAAGGATGGAACAAACCACTCAATTATATTCCATACACACAGATTCATTCCAGAAACGGGCTATTATGATATATAAACCGCCAACACAGACTAAAATTCCAGCATTAAATAATACAATCTTTGTAGGCAAGTGATTCAATCAATCAATCAATCTGTAATAAAGATACAAACTTCAAAGGGAATCAATCTTTTCCTTAAGAGGAGAGACAGAGAGATCACGAAATGAAATGTCTCAGTAGTATTGCTTCCGAGGATTGTTCTGCGATTTTGAACCCCAAAAAAAAAAACACAAATTGAAACGAGCGACGAGTTAGTTTTTTCATGTTCTTGGGCTTATAAAAAAGTGTTACGGAGGAGTAGTGATTATGAATTAATTACCAGAGGATTAGGGCGGTGGCGATAGCCAAGCATCATTCGCTTCTTGTACTGCTCATAAATGTCATCTTCTGGAGTTACTTCTCCAGGGTTGTGAGCACCGACACCGAGGTTGTTTGACTTCACTTCACCTGCAACAATTGGATCTGCAATTCCGCTTCTAGAACTCCCCAGACCTTCACCTGAGTAAGTAAATCAAACAGAGGTTGTGATCATGGATCAATTTTGCCATCAACCCAAAAAAAAAAAAAAAAATCAAACCCAAGTTTCCAAGTAGTAAGAGACTATTGATACAGCACCGTGGTGAACTATTATAAGAATGCATGCATTGCAGAGTATATTTCAAACGCCTTAACATTATGTACTTGTTCCTGCACTAGAAACAAGTTTTGTTTCAGGCGAACATTTTTGTTCGCAATATGTCATTTTATATAACAAAATGACAGTTATGTACTACTCTCTTCTTTAAGACCTATAACTTATGTATTACTTCCTTCTATAAAACCCCTATATTATACTTATATGTTAGTAAGGGATAATATTGTGAAGTTCTTTCTCCATTTAGGCGCTGTTCAATAGAACTTAATTTCAATACTGTTTATTTCAATATCACTCCGGGATTCTGCTCAGTATTAATATCAAAAGCAGTAACAAATTAATATTATGTTCACTATAAGAAATGGACACCTTTGTTCTTTCACTTCTTTCTTTCCCCATATCAAGCATTAAGGGTAAGCTTATGTATTTGACACGAAAAACAGTGTATATAGCCAAATATTATACTCCGTAATAATTATTAGTATTATTATAATACTCCAAATCATATAATTCAGTACTTGTGAGTTTTATTAAATGCAGTATTTATAAATTTATTTCATCATCTATAAGTTCACTCAATGGTTCTTAAATTAGCTGTGCTTCTTTTGATAGTGGAGTAATAGTTAGTCAGCCAAACGTTCGACGCTCATCATGGGTCATCTGAAAACAATCACTCTATGCTTTAACATAGAGGTCAGGCTGCGTACATCCAACCCCCCTCCCCACCCTGCAATGGGCGGGAGCCTTTGAGGCACTGGGTAATATTGTTGTTCTTGTATCTATAAGTTCACTCAAGTTAAGTTTAGTACCATATTCAGATAAGCTCTACTCAACGGCCCTATTATAATGCTCTTCCGAAACAACACAGATTGTGAGCTAGAGCCTAGAGGGAGTACTAAGTACTGTATCATTAAATTATTATTTTTTACTTTTGGCATCGCATACAACGTTTCTACGTTAACTTGAATTATGCCATAAACTGCATACATAATATCCAATGCAGTAATGCAGCATTTACCTTCCTTCCATCCCATTTTAGCCAGCAGTTTGTGACCAATATTATCAGCCTGAATTTTGGACCTCTCAGCAAGCTCCTTGGCAGCTTTCTGTGCACCCACATCATTGCAGGCAGCCATGAACTTGGCAAGCTCCTCAGGCGGGATATAATCTCCCATGTGATGCCCTTTCTTGCCCAAAGCCGGGCTTCCTCCTAAGCCATTAACCAACAGATTAGCAACTCCATTAATGAAAGCAATAATGGTAAGGATCAGAAGAAAACCTTTAAGGGAAGGGGGTGGAGGCATCTCGCCCTTTGATGACTTTGGAGGCCTTGATTTCTCTTCATCTGCAGCCTTCTTCATGTAATATTCCATCATTGCTATTGGATCTGCCGATGATGGTGGTCCTGCAGAAGCTCTGCTGGGAGAATCTGACATGTCATACAAAGCTGATGCAGGAATTTGATAATTCGACTTTTGCTGAATTGACTTCTGAGAGCTGCTACCCGAATTGAGGATAGAAGATCTTGAGCCTCCTGTCCATATGAAGATGGAATGATGCAATGGTACAAAATCATTTCAAAAAAAGGTCCATATTAAACAATTATTGAAATAAAAAATTACATATATATTCTCCATAGCAGACTATATGTCATTTATTTGGTAGGTTTACTTTTTGGCTTATCGATGTATGAATCAGTTCACCAAATGCTAATTATTGTTACAATGCTGACTGAGTTGGCTGATAATACAAAATAGTACAAAATTTACGATTTGGCTGAAATTAATATTACAACCTATATTTAAATCGGGCCGAACTCGCCTGAAAAGGATCACAACATCACCCTTTACTCAAACATGGCAAACATCCGAGTGATATTTAACAAATGTAAATTTATTTAAATTCAGTCATTTGTGTCTCAACTTATTTAGCAATGATTTCAGCCATTTTCATCCGTGGGATGCTACTGGGTTGTTGTGGTTGTTGTTCAACCATTTTCAGCCTTAGGAAATGGGTTCTATATTTGACAAGAAATCAATAGAAGCCAAGAGTTGTATGGTTAGGAAGTTAACTAACCACTTTGTGGAGTTTGAGAGTCTCTGGTTTGTGAAAGAGCCTTTTCCTCTTCAACAAGCCGATATTCATAGTACTTATAGTCAGGACAGCTTTCATCAAATAAGAACCTTGAATTGGAACACTAATTAGACTTTTCAGGCCTTCAAAGAGAACATCATAGGGATTACGAAACAAAAAATTGTTTTTAACAAAGATAAAGTACATAGGTGGCGGTAATTGGAGCTTGTAATACAACTCATACTTGATCTAGCAATGCAGACTATGAAATGTGATTACAGTTTTAATAAAAAATGATTTGCTATATTCTTTTATATCATTTCTAACTCATTAGATAATTGATCAAATATCAACATCTATAAATTTTATCTGAATGAACAATTACCCTTTCGCTTCTTAAATTAAGTTGTGCACTTGAACTCCGTTATTTATATTTGTTATAACCATCTCCATAACAGATAGTAGTTCAGTTACAATTTTAGATCATTTCTGTTTGATTCAATTAATGCATTTCACATAAACTAAACACACAAGTAGTCACCCATTAAATCAATCTTGTAACAATAGAAATGTACACTAATATTTATTTGGTGCAATTTATATACTACATATAAAGATGCTTGGTTATGGATAATTTAAGTCTATTGAAAATAATATTATATTTACAAACTGCATCCACCCCAGAGGATAAAGTTACTAATATACCAGCAACAAACAAAATGCCGGGGAGTGGATATAGAAGCATTCTGCTTACAGCACAAGGTGGAATATAAAAGCAAAGATCACTAAGGGAGATTCATGCAATCAAAAAAATAATACTCCGTAATAATAATAATATAATAATACCCAGAAAAGTAGCAAGGGCATACTTAAAGGGAGTGTCACCGGGATTTTTTTGGCGGGTAACATTCTCAAACTGTCTACCATTCTTGGCCACAAAACTTGCCAATTTATCTGCAACTTTCTTCACTGTAGGATCACTCGGTGGAGGTGGTGCTACTGCATGTCACTTAAAGAACTGATTAATTACCAAGCGCATGAATGAACAAGTGAATGTGTAAATTACTCTTTGTAGCAGCGTGCCACATTTTTTCCAAATCGTTCAATGAACATCTCTTTCCCACCAATGTTGACAGATTAAGTTATAAGCTGCATTCATCAGACGACATTACAAGAATGATAATTCAAGAATGTGTTTCCCTCTCCTTTACCCATCACCCCACCAAGAAATAGAAACGCTGATGGGATAGCTTCTTCTATAGCAATTAGCTAATTAAAGGGAGCATTCTGTAAAATTTCTGGTCTTGGTATGATAGTATTGATAGCTGACAGTAAAAGAGATACAGTACGCTTAAAAAAACAGCATACTTTGTCTCTCGGTATGTCAAAAGATACAACAACCCAGTACGGTCCCACAAGTGGGGAAGTATATCCAAAAATAACCAACACAAAGCACTCAAAAGGGACTTCTACTGGTATACCTCACGAAAATGATGATTGAGCACATTAAACGATTATCTAGAGTAATTCATTTACGCAGCTAAACAACACTCTCTTTTGATTTCTGGTGCTTATACAATACCCCGGAGTAACAATCAAGAAAACATTTTTTAAATGCTCGGTAGCATTAATTATTACTCCATCCGTCCCTTAAAAAGAGTTGTTTTGAAAATGAACAACTTATAAATTGTAGTAAAGGACAACAAAGATTGGAAATCATCAATTGTTTATATAATATAAAGTTTACTTATTAGTTTAAGTAAATTCAACACAATGAACATGTTTGAATCTATTTAGTTTAACTAAATAAAAAAATATAGAATATTATAAAATTTAGCTTCTTTTGTTCATATTTGACTCTATGTTTGGAACAAAAAAAGTTTAGAAAATGGCTCTTTTTACGTAACAAAGAGGGGATTACTCTAACTACAATAAAGGAAAGACTGTAGGTGCACAATTGCAGATGTGGAAAGCCGTTACTAATGATCGCAGACTCGTCCCTATAAATTGATGCCATATCATGGAATCAATGTCAAAATTCAAGCAATCATAAAATAAGTAATTACCAACAACAGATTCCATTGATGATTGCACAGGAACAATGGACTTATCCAACTTTTGCCGTTTAGCTGTCCCGTCTCCAGAAGGATTTGCAGCATCTTTTTCATATTCATCCTCGTCTTCATCCAACTTAACGGGAGGCGCCACAATTTTAGACTTCTGTTTAAGGCTGAATGCAAGTTTGCCACCAGAAGCAGCAGCAGGAGCGGGTTTTCTAGGCTCATTGCCCTTAATTGCAAAGCTTGTTTTATTAATGACAATCTTGGGATTGGAGGATCCTGGCAAATTCGAAGTTACTCTTGAACCCTTTACTGCATTATTTGTCTTCCCCTTTTCTTTATCATTCTCTTGTTGAATCTGTTTAAACCTCTCCATGAACGAACCGTCATTAACAAAGAGGCTGGGGTCTTTTGCTTTCTCCATTGTCAAAACTCCAACTTCGGCTTTCTGATTGACGTTAATTTCACTGCTTAGCAGACACTAAAAAAAGTATTTAGATGCATAATCGCAGATCATTGCCTGGCAAGAAGCCAACCCAATCCCCACACGAAGACGACAACATCAAAAAATATACCTAGACGATTTTCCCTAAACATAAAAATTGGAGCTCATCCCAAATTAAAATATCAAAATAGGATGCACGGGCACGCCAAACCTGGGGAGTAATCGACCGTCGGATAAGGGAACACGATTGGGAACTGCGACGGGGATACAGGCAGGATCCGTTTGGAGCGAAATTCTTTTCCGGCGGGGAAGATATGAAATCGGTGTATATAGAATGGTCAGATGCGCGGCAGACGGAATTGGGGGGCTAATGGAGGCTTGTTTTTGCAGATGGGTGGAGGCGGATGATGGAGACGACGAGAGGGAAAAAGGCTACACAGTGGAAAGATGGGGGAGTCCTATGAGATCTGTTTTATACGGAGTAGTCTTTCCCGTCCAAAAAAAAAGATCATAACCTTAAATTTTACTCCGTAGTATTTTACTCGTATTCAATTTTATTTATTTATGAGTTTTGTTTGATTATTTGGTACTCCGGTTATAATAAAAAAATTATAAACTCTTGTTTTACATAATTTTTAACACCAAAATTTCCATGACATTGGTTTTCAATAACCCGGGATGATCCGGTGTCCCGTTCGTAAAATTGACGGTTCCTACTCCCTAACCTCCCAGTAAACCCTCCACCCGCCCCGACCCGAATACACTCCCACCCCCTTCAATTGCACCCCACAAGTTTATTTTAACTTTGGAATCAAATTTTACAAACGGGTTACCGGAACGCCCTCAGGTCATTCCATGACATTGATTTCTAATGTCATGGAAATTTTACCCAATTTTTAATGTTATTTTTAAATGGATAAATTTATATTTGAAATCTATACTTATATATCTTTAAATAAAATTAATTTAAAAAAATTAAAATTTTACTTTGTTTTATGACATTCTATACAAATTAATTGGGCTATATTCAAAAAAAGTTATACTCGAGATTCACTTCTATATTTATGTTCTACAAATGACAAAAACAAATCATCCTAATCATAAGTTATTGCAATAGAAAGGGTTTGTTCTCTTTAATTTATCTGATTGGTTTTGATATGATTCGACTAACTTTGGATCTTATGTGACTTTAATTACATTTAAAATTATGTCTCATGTCTCATTTTGATTCCAATAAAAAATATTTCCTCCGTCTCAAATTTAACTGCTTATTTACTATTTAGACAATCAAACTTCATTAATTTTCGTTCTTTATTTTCGTTAGTCGTTTGATAAAATAACATAATCATGTCACTACTAGTTCTGTAAATCTTTTGATCTAATTTTTAAAAATGTAAATTTTATTTTTAAATTTTACAATATTTTTCATATAAAATGATTTGAAAATAATTTCAATTAAACATCGCATACCGAAACAGGCAATTTAGCTCTTTCAAACAATTGTTCAAATTGATATTAGGATATATTGAATGTTAGGGTATAATTTTTTCTATATTCGCTTCTTTAATTATTGTGGTTGTGTTTAGAAAAACAGCTTTTTGGATAGTTTTTGACTTTCTTGATTGGCTTTGGCTTTATGACTAGCTAATTGAAGAGCCAAAAACAATGTTTGGCTAATGACTTTTTCATTTGGTTGTTTGATCTAAAAAGCCAAAAACTAAAGTCAATGGGTGTACCTTTTTTACTAGGCTATTAGAAAAACTAATTTTTTTTTATCAATTTTCTTGAAAAATAACAATAATATATGTAAAAATAAAAAAAATAAAAGGTAAAAAAATTAAAAAAAACAAAATAAATGAAATGAGAAAATCAAAAGTAAAAATAATTAAAAAGTTGTACAGTAAATTTTGATGAATTATATAAAAGTTAAATTTAATATTTCATATACTAAAGATTTAATTTTTACATGTATCCAAGCACACACACACACATATTTGATGGATAAATTATTAGTAAAAATGTATGATGTGATAGGTAGGGTATAAAAAAAGTAAGGGGTAAAAGTGATTTTTTTAATAGAACAAAGAAGTGTTTTTTGAGATAGATGAAAAAAAGGAGAAATATTTTCAGGGACGGAGAGAGTATAACATACGGACTTACGGAGTATAACATTAAATAGAAATACTTAATATTATTGTCTAACATAAATAGAAATATTTAATATTGTAGGTAATTTACTTAAATAACACTAAAACATAATAACTATCTCTAAATAGCATCATATGTCTTTTTTCTCCAATGTATCACTTTTAGTCAGTATCTATTAGTTAAAGTAATTGTTCACAATCACTGAACATTATTTATCCTTCTAGACATTATTAAATGTTATTTAGAGAATAAAAATATTTTAGTGCAATTTAAGAAAATGACTTAAGTTTTTGTGTTATTTGGTGCAAATATATTTAATATTATTGTCTAACATTTAAAACCATGGAGAATTTTGCTAGCTTTTAAAATCATTCTTCACACTTAATACTCCGTAACAAATCATGCATTCTTCACATTTAAAAAAGAATGCGAGGTAAATTTTGGGACATGGCTAGAAGTTAATAGTAGCATGCATGCAGCACGTATATATAAAACCTCGAGAGGATGAAAAAAAAAAGGAATAATCGACGATGAAATCAGAACTATGGATGACGAAAATAAAAACTCGCACATACTCAACATGCCGCCGCCGCCGCCAATGACGAGTTTGACGAGTTATGCCAGCTTTTCCTCCGTGCCTTTGGACGACGACGACGAAAACACGGCTGTGGCGGCGACCCCGCAGCTCATGTCTGCCCACAAACGCAACGATTCAGTTCGAGCGGTGGCGGAGATGGAGTTTCTTAGTCGTCGCTCAACCCTAAAGGGAAATAACGAGGAAGAAAATGATGACGCTGCTGTTCCGGGTACTCACAAACGTTCAAAATTAATGCGACCAAAATGTATGGAAAGTAACAAATTCACCACCAAAGGGGAGGAAGAGGCTGCAAAGAAGACCAAGGGGAAGGAGGGAAAAGTGAAGAAATTCATCAAATCAATCTTTAAATAAACTCTTTGATTATTTATTGTGCCCTAGAAATATACTCGAGTATAACATAATTTCAGTAATAGCCATCCTTTCAGATCTCCTCATATATTAGTATTAATTTATATTTTGAGTTCATATAATTTTTTTAGATTTTATATAAATAGACCAAAACTCACCAAAGTTTGAGATATATATAAATAGAAGTTTGGCCTTGCTATTACAATTAATAATCATCATTTTAAATCTTTCTGAACATCTTTTTTTAAAATTTAAACATACATATACAAAGCACTAAGTACTTTTTTTTAGAATTTTCAATCATCTATTACGAAACTTGTAAGCAAATGACTCTTTTGTTAAGTGGCACTTTTTTGCAAAAAAAAAAAAGAAAAAAAAGAAGAAAAAAAAAAGAAAGTGGCACTTGTAATTGGGCTTTAAAGGATCAGAAGGGTTATGGGCCTTCCCAGCCGAGTTACATGTGCTTCTTTCTGCCCACCCTCGTTTGGCGACTTTATTCAATTTTGGGCTTTCATTAAAACATTTTACTCGGTAGCTTTTAAAACTTTTTTTCCAAGTAAAAGCGCAAAAGTGATGCTAGAGACTAGAGAGTATGGTCATTTTATCTTCACCTAAATATGAATAGTTTTGAAGTGATTAAAATAAATTTTGATATGATCTGGTCTGATTTGAATGTAGATCTTTAAAGATATTTCTGATCTGATTCTAATAATAAAAAAATAATAAATACTCCCTCTGGTCGAAAAAACTTTTCATGTATTGACTTTTTCAGTCAAATCGTGATACTCTTTAACCACAAATTAAACATAATCTAAATAAATAAATGTTATAAAATTTTGATATATCAAAACTGTATAGTAAGATGAACCCAATTATGTTTAATTAATACTCCATCCGTCTCGCAAAAAAGTTCTCGTTTTGACTTTTTGAGGATTTAAGGGGAGTGTATTTTAGTGTTGACTTTCCAAAAATGCCCTTTAATGTAATGGATAAAGTAGGATGAGATGTATAGATTAATAGAGAAAAAGTGTAATGTGATAGGTAGGTTAAGAATTAGTAGGGTAAAAGTGACTTTTTAAAAGGAAAAGAGAATTGTTTTTTGGGGCAGATGAAAAAAGAAAGAGGAACTTTT